CCCAGCAGCACAGTCATACGATCCTTTGCCACCTTAAAGCCTGGAGCGTGTGCTTCATTCATAGAAATGTAGGTTCTTGTTGGCTTTCGCTTCTGGTATAAACCTGTCTTGCCCACATTGAAAATTTGATCTAAGTTGTAGCCTTCTTTGTCAATTAATTTTTTTTTACTATGGGAGGAAATGTCATCGCATGCTCCTCGTCTACACTGGCAGCTTCGCCACATAACTTTACGTTATGAAAAGCATAGCAGTTCTTAAAACCAGAAAACCAGCCACTGCTAGCACTAAAGGCAGGTACATCTGCAGGATTTTCAGCTTTTTTTGTTAGATCTTCATAAATTGATAAGGCTTTTTCTTTTATGGTGAGAAGGGTTTGCTTTTTTGTTTGATCTTCTATCCACATACTTAGAAGCCACTCCATCTCCTCAAGTTCTTTAGTCTGTGACCTCACAAATTTGCTAGCACTCAGACTTGTTCCAGCAATACAGCTTGCTTTAGTCTTCTCTGCATTGTCTCTAATGGTGCATAAGGTAGACTCTTTTATTCCTGTTGCACGAACAATATCACATGTTCTCTCATTACACTCAAAATACTTTACAACAACTAGTTTCCCTTCCTTTCTTTTACATACATCACCCACAATTTTATTACCAGGACGCTGTTTATTATCATTCTTGCCACTTTGTCCTCGCATTTTGTGGGTAACATGGCAGAATTGTACAGTACCTCTCACAGTAAGTGCAAGGATCCCTGATGCCAGTGTGGGGACTCTTTCGGTGCATGCTCAGGACAAATCCTGTGAACCAATCATGTGATGTCGATGTTGGAATCGTGTTATAGCCAACACAAAGTTTGTGTTTCACAAATACTGTTCCCCTATTCATCAATCACGTTATAGCCAATTTGCATTGCCAGAATGTACATTATAGGAGAACACCTTGTACAGTGAATGGCAGAACCCTTAGGAATATTGACGTGCAGAGGGATCTGGGTGTGCAGGTCTACAAATCACTGAAGGTGGTAGTGCGGGTAGATAAGGTTGTGAAAAAAGGCTCATGGCGTGCTTGCCTTCATTGGAAGGGGCATTGAGTATAATGATAGACAAGTTATGCTGCAGCTTCTTGAAATTTAGTTAGGTCATACTTGGAATATTGTGTACAGTTCTAGTTAACACATTATCGGAAAGATGTGGATGCTTTGGAGAGGGTACAGAAAAGGTTTACCAGGATGTTGCCTGGTATGGGGGATTTAAGCTATGAAGAAAGGTTGGTAGTACCGGGTTTGTTTTCACTGGAATGCAGGAGGTTGAGGGGTGACTTAATAGAAGTTTGCAATGTGAATGGTGTGGATAGACTGGAACATATGAGGCTTTTTTCCCCAGGATGGAGGGATCAATTACTAAGGGACACAGGTTCAATGTGCGAGGGTGAAAATTTGAAAGAGATGTGCGAGGCAAGTTTTTCACACAAAGGGCGGTGAGTGCCTGGAATGTGGTGCCAGAGGAGGTGGTGGAAGCAGACACAGTAGTAGCATTTAAGAAGCACCTGGACGAATACCTGAATAGGAAGGGATTAGAGTGATACGGATCCTGTAAGTTGAGACAGTTTTAGCGTGGAAGGGCAAAATGTGTCAGCGCAGGCTTGGTGGGCTGAAGGACCTGTTCTTGTGCTGTATTGTTCTTTGTTCTCTTTGTTTGCCCTCTTGAATGTCTCAATTGAACATGCCTTCAAGGCAATGCCTTGCATACCCTAATTACTCGTTGTGTGCAAAATTTTTTTTTCTCATTTGTCTCTTTTGCAAAACATTTTAAAATATGCTTTCTGGTTCTAAATCCATTTACAAGTGGGGGTACAGTTTATTCCCGCCTACTCTTTCCATAGCTCTCATTATTTTTAAAACTTCTATCAAAATATTCTTTTTACCTTCTCAGTTCCAGGGGAAACAGTCCCAGCTTCTCAATATTTCCTTATAACTGATGTGTCTTACTCCTGAAACCATTCTCTTAAACCTCTTCGGCACTCTTTCCAATGTGTTCATATCTTTCCCATAGTTTGGCATCCAGAACTGTACACAATACTGCAGTTAGGTTAACCACAGTCTTATCCTTGACATTTACCATGACCTTTCTGTTTTTGTAATCTCTGCCCCTATATATGAAGCCCATAATACTGCGTACTTCTTTAACCGTGCTTTCAACCTGTCCTGTAACCCTTAATGACTTCTGTTATGAAGGATATTTTGTCACACTGTGATCACTAAAATCTGAATAGTTACCAGTTAATTCATGTTTGACCTTCTCTAGTTATGGATATTAGATTGTAGGATAGTTAGCATTTAGTGATTGCTTTGTTGACTATAATATGATGAAAATTATTCTGCCTTACTCTCTGGAATCTTGTAGCTTCATTCTCTTCGTAAGTAACTGGGATTTCAATTTTTTTCTAATTTAAAAATGTTACTGATCCCAATGAGATTGTTACAACTGTTTTAAATGTAACTGGTTATTTGAAATATAATTGCATTCTATATTATATACGCTACTACATTTTGTAGAAATTTCAAAATGCAGAAAAGATGCTATAAAATAATTGCATAATTCTGAAGTTTTGTTTCGAATGACCATTGCATTTCATGTATTAATTTGCATAAATGTATGAGATGTAGAAACAAATAATAATGGGAAAAAAGCTATGTTCTACAGTGATGACTTTAATATACTGTACTCCAACAGTTTAAAAGTTTAGCAATGAGACAAAAATTGGACATAAAATTAAATTCATCAGGTTTCTATTTTATGTTGCGTGTTAATTATGTCACATCATGTTCCGACTCTGATAGGAGTAATTAGTCTCACTAATCCAAGAGGTGTAACATTGGTGTAAATGTTTTGATTCAATCACCAAAATGGTCAAATTGTTTCTCTTTATTGATTTTACAACGCAGAGTAATGCCAACAGACAGGGTTCAATATCCACACCAATTAATGTTGCCATGAAGGACTCTCCTTCTCTACTCTTCCCTTGCCTGAGGTGTGATGACCCTTAGGTTAAACCACTACCAGTCGTCTCTCCCTCTAATCAGTGACCAGCCCAATTGTCTGGTAAGACTATGGCAACTTTACCTACTGTTATCCAGATCAAAAGAATCCTTCATCCGGTTACTTTATAAACAAAACTCGTTCTTTAAACAAATGGAAAATAAAACTGGTTAACAACTAAGCTATATTCTGGAATTAAACAATATCCCTTTTATCCCAAACAAAAAAAATCACACAGCAAACACAGCTCTTCAGAGATGAGAGATAGTAGGAACTGCAGATGCTGGAGAATCCGAGACAACAAGGTGCAGAGCTGGATGAACACAGCAGGCCAAGCAGCATCATAGGAGCAGAAAGGCTGACGTTTCGGGCCTAGACCCTTCATCAGAGATGAGATGAGTTTTCAAGACAAAGGCAAAAGGGAGAAAAGAAATCTCTGTGGGCTCAGAGTCTGAATTCTAAAGGATAAGATGGGACAAATTCTCATGGTTCCAAAGGAACACAGGAACAGAAGTAGGGCATTCAGCCCCTTAAGACTGTTCTATCTTTCAATGAGATCATGGCTGATGATAACTCCATATATCTGCCTTTCGTCCAGATCTCTTAATACCTTTGCTTAACAAAAAAAACTCTATCTCAGATTTAAAATTAACAACTAATCCAGCATCCACTTCCATTTGTGGAAGAGAGTTTCATACATCTACCATCCTTTGTGTGTAGGAGTGCTTCCTAACATCTCTCCTGAATTGTCTGGCCCTAATTCTCAGACTATGCCCTGAGTTCTAGAATCACCAACAGTATACTTTACTGAGAACAATAGATATGCTATTGAACACATTTTGGATACTTGCATATGGGTGCATTTTGGCATTTATGCCGAGGTGAAAGATAGTTTTGGGCACAAATGTCAAACAATTTTGTTCAGTTATCTCTAAGCACACAGGTTATTGGGCAAACGAAGCTACATATTTCAAATACAGCATGATGTGTAACTAGATCAGTTATGCACATAAATGGCAACTCCTTTTGAATTGACAAATTATTAAAAATTGACCAAAACTTGGTGTATTGTTTGAGGGTATTTAAGCAGCTAAACCTGTTCAATTTTGTAAGTTGGCTTGAAATCTGCAATCTGAAGATCACATTATTAATATCGTCAACTGGAAAGACAAGAAAAGAATGAATAAAATTATATATTTTAATGAAAAATTATTGGCTTATTACAGCAATTTTATTTATAGTCAAAGATTAAAATGAGTTCAGGTATTGTGTTGGCACAGAATAGATTTGGTAGTGAAAGCAAGTAACTAATGGGTCATGTCTTTGTTGTATTGGGATTGATAATTAGAATCATTTCCAAACATCAAAACCTGTGAAGATACTTTCCAAACTAAAAAGTGTTAAAATTCATATCCAAGAGTATTTTAAAGTACAGAAACTGAAGCATCTGACTGCGCATGGACTACAGTGGTTCAAGAAGGCAGCTCACTACCACCTTCTCAAGGGCAGCGAGGGATGAGTAATAATGCTGGCCTAGTGACTCCCACATCCCATAAGTGAATAAAAAGATACTCAGTCAGAAGAATACAAAAGATTCAAAACATAAAATAGCATCCATAAAGGGCTGGATATTTTCTTTAATTTCACATGATTAGTAAGTGAAATATATTGCATGTGAGTTCTATCAAAAAGTTCTATGGAACTCCTACCACTCCATAACACAGAACACATCCTATAATAAGAAACTTAGATGCTTTGCTTTGCCTATTAGCACATGAAGCAGACAAAGCATATGCTTATGTTCATTTCCATATCTAGCTTTACTTGGCACATGTCACTTGATGGGCACCACGTCACATTCAGCAGAGCCAACCAGGTTACTCTCCCACTATTAAGGCTTCCTGTAGACATATTGGAAGGACTCACAGGTTGATTATTAACTTGTTTGACCACAATATGAATACACCTTCCATGGCCATCGAGCCCTGGAGTGGGCTTTGAACTTAAGAGCTTCTAGCTCAGAGACAGGGGCACTACCCTTTGAGCCGCAGGACTTCCTTCTACAATATTTGTGAGGAAATGATAAAGAATGTTGCTGGGTTGTTCGGTGAATGTTGCATTATGTAGTTCCTTAACTTAAGGAATATGTTAGTGAGAGGTGTTACATAGGATTTGTGCATTCGAAAAAGAGAGAAAAGTAATCTGTACCAATTACTGTACAGGATATGCTGTAAAGGTGGCCTGTTGTGTGGTTCCTTCATGCAGAAATGAGCATCAAAAATACTTGTTATACCAGGTGCTGCTATTTGGGGTTAATGCTGGATTTACATTATTGTGTTATTAAAATGAAGGGCTGCTACAGCGTTCATTATCAGATAATGCCAGCATAATAGCAATCTAAATTCCAATTTGCCTTTAATAGTACTCTGGATCTAATAAAGAGTTCTCTTTATTGATATTATCTGTTGGTGCACTTGGAGAGCTTGTTTTAAGTCCATAGTTCATTAATGTTTCACACGCACTTGCAACTTGTACTGTTAAACCCTGCAACGCGTTCAACTAGCATTTATTAAGCAATGTGCACATCCTATTGGACATTCCTTAACTAAATAGAACAGGATTTAAGTGGCCGGAAGTATTGTGCAATATTCAGTCACAAGCATAAATACAAAGTCTAGGTCAACATTCCAATGCAGTATTGTGGTGTTCGAGGTGGTATCTTTCAAATAAGACAGTAGGCAGAGACTATGAGATCTATTCAATGAGTTTGACATTAAATTATCCCAAGATATTATTTTGAAGATGATTTGGGAAGATCTCTTCACTATTTTGGTCAATACTTATCCCTCAGTCAATAACAACAAAAACAGATTATTTGACCACTATTTCATTGCTGTTTGTGGAGACTTGCTGTGTGCTCATTGGCTGTTGTATTTCTTACATTTCAACAGTAATTCAAACCAGCAGCTCCAAAATACTTAATTGACTGTTGAGCATTTTTAAACATCCTGAGGTTGTGAGTTCTGCAGGCCTGTTTCTTTACACCAATTTTAATGAAGCTTTACAACCCTTGGAGGGAAGAGGTGGGGAGAGATTAGTAGTTTAGTGATAAAAACTGAAAAAAAACTATGTTGTTACCTAGCAGCAAGAGGAAGAGGTAGAAAAATCCAGAAGGCAGTTGGTGTATGACAGAGAATTAAGATAGAAGCAGTGAAATCTCTCGCATAAAATTCTGCAAGAAATTCAGATTAGGCAACTTGTGTTTGCTCAAAGTTAGTGAGTTTAGTTTACAGTTTCTTTTTGGTGTTTCAGGGAGAAATACCAGATGAAGGAAAACAAAAGTGAATGTGCAGAAATTTGCCAGATGGAAATTGATTGCAGCTGCACCAGCCTGAACTAGAAGCCTTGGTGTGGAGATGGTGAAAAATCTTCACTGGAGTTTTGGTTCACAAGGATATTTGCTGGATAAAGGCATAGTGAGTGTTTTGAAATGAAAACGTTGCAACTTTTTTGTGCATTTTAATAGAATTTATGCTTTTTTGTCTAATAAATATTATATTATTTGTGTTAAAAGTACACTTTCAGATTCTTGTGAATGCATTTAGGAACTTACCACCATGGGCATTTTTTCAAAAAAACAAAGTTAGGGGCTATCAAGCCAGTTTACAATCGGGTATTTGATCTATCATGTGTTGACATCAGTTGGGATCATAACAGAATGGCAACAGGTGGAAGCCTGGGGATGACAGAGGACAGTGGAAGTTGATGGATGACTACCCTCAGGGTTATACTGGGTGTATCTGACAACATAATTGCAAACACAGGTTCAGCTGGAAGGAGTCCAGGGTGAAATAAGCAGAAGTTTGGGTGTGGCCCATCAATGGCTCATTGGAGCCACACAACTGGAGGCTGTTTGGCAGTCACCGGAGGTTACTGTCCTGGCTGGACTCAGTAATACATTCTTTGATCCTATCATACGTTCAACAAGACTTCAAGGAAGCTTCCAACATGGGATAACAAGGTGTAGAGCTGGATGAACACAGCAGGCCAAGCAGCATCAGAGGAGCAGGAAAGCTGACATTTCAGCT